GTCTGAAAAGTGTTTTTGAGTACTTTTCAGGTATAATTCTAGATGCACACACACTAAGTTTATTTTCTTGTTCTGTATTCTATACAAACCACTCCCACATTGACACTAACCTGTGTGGCCCACAAATGAGATGGATAAAATATAAGCAGATGGGACACATCTGTTAGTCATGAACATTTCTCCATTGGTGCCATCACCAAATTTATTTGTCTTATGATTTTGTAAAGACTCTGGATATTATATTTCAAACAATCAAATCCTTGATCATTTTTCATAGGAGGGTTTTAGTTAGTTTTTGTGCCTCTGTGACCAAAACACCTAAAAAGAACAACTTAGAGGAGGAAAACTTTATTTTGGCTCATAGAACCAGAATCTCAGTTCAGGGTCTGTGTACTCCATTGCTCTGGGCCCAAGGTGAGATGGCACATCATGCGGGAAGAGTTGCTCCCCTGCTGGCAACAAGAAAGTGGGGTCAGGGGGCACAGGGAAGATGCACCCTTCCAAGGCATATCCTATAGTTACAACCCAGTCAGTCCATTCAAACTAGGATGCATGGATTAAAGTACAGTTTTCATAAATCTAATCATTTCATCTCTGAATATTCTTACATTAACAGGAGTTTGATAGGGACAACTAATATCCAAACCAAAAACAGGATGGATCAATCAGTACATGTAATACATATGAACATTTCTTCTATGGTCAGGTTGGCTCCTTGATGTCAATCATGTAAGCTGGTCATAGCTAACTTCTTCTAGCAAAGTGTTAAATGCACATTGCCCATTCATCTATCTTCAGGACAGGAAAAAACAGTGAAGTATAGAGGAATTAATCAGAGGTAAGCAAAAATAGACAAGGAGTTGGATGTACAGTATCATTTACCTCTGTGACCCTGGACAATTGTGAATCTCAAACTCCTCATCTATAAAATAGATAAAACATCATGGGGAGAATCCATGACACTTGATGCAAAATATCTACACTGGGGCTTAAAAGATGGTGATGTATGTAATGAAAATTATTGCAAATTACTAAAATCAAAAATATTGATGCCCCTCAAATAAAGGAAGTATTATGAATTTCTAACTTGCCTTACTTATGGAGACTCAAATCACAAAAAAATATAAAAATATTTCTTCTCATTCAGTTTTCTTCCTGGATTTCATAATTATTTTAAGGTCTCAAGTGAGTCTACATACAGACAAGCATTTTTAAAGCTGTTATGGCATAAGAGTATTATAGGTTGAATATCCATCACAAAAATGCTTCCAACAAGAAGTGTCTCAAATTTCAGATTAGTTTGGATTTTGGAATATTTGCATATACATAATGAGTTATTGGAAATGGAAATTAAGTCTAAAAATGAAATACATTTATATTTCATATACACCTCATTCATATAGCCTAAAGTAATTTTATATAATATTTTAAATGATTTTGTATACAGTACAGTGGTAGAGCATGTGCCTACCATGTATGAGGTCCTGGGTTCAATCCATAGCACCACATACAAAATACACACACACACACACACACACACACATACACAAACATACACACACACAGATTGGGCTGAAGTGTGTTTCAGTGTAGATTCCTTGGCTAACATGCTCAATGCCCTTGGGTCTGAGTCCCAGCACCACTAATTAATTAACTAAACAAATACTTGTGTGCATCAAACTCAGTTTCATTGTATGAAACTTTCCACTCCAGGTGTAAGGTCAGCACTCAAAAAGTTTGAGGTTCAGGAGCATTTTGGATGTTAGATTAGATTAGATCTTGTACCTCTAGATTAGAGACACCTGGACCATGATTGTAGATTTCTTTTTTCCACCACCCCTAAGGAATGGTCTGAGTCAAAGGGCTAGAAGTACCAGGCTAAAGGGCAGGAGTGGCACTGGGAAACCTTCCTCTACTTTAAATCTTCATCCCTACCAGAAATCATTTGGTACAAATACAGATTAACAGAAACCACCTTATAAGTGAAGGGCACTGGTCTTCTTTCACAAGCTATTAATAAAGTAAACATCTCCCCACAAAATACCAGGAGACATAAATTATTTAACAGTAAAATTATCGTAACATCACAAAGGTTCACAGACCAAATAGTATTCTGAATCCAGGACAAACTAAGTTTCATTTAAAAATCCAAAGTCATATAAATTCAATCCCTATCATCCCCCCTCTTGACCAGGCTATGTGCGTGGAAAGCTACAGGGACTACACAGTCACTGATAACAAGAAGGACATGACTGGGCAGTAGAAAAAGAAAGATGTTAGCAGGTCAAGAGGAAAATAATTCATCACAGCTATAGTCCAAATCTAACAGAACAAAGAGACACAGATCTAGTACTTGGGAACCTCAACAAGAAATTGTCTTTGAGACTCCCAAATACAGGCAGTCCTCCATTTCTGCATGTTATGCACCCAAAGATTCAACCAATCACAGATCAAAAATATTTGGGAAACAAAAATGCCTGTACTGAACATATACACACTGTTTTTCTTTTGTCATTATTGCCAAAGCAATACAGTATAACACTTATTTGAATATAATATGTTTGCATTGTATTAGGTATTATATGTCATCTAGAGATGGATGTATTTAGTTTTATGCAAACACTACACCACTGTATACATGGGACTTGAGCACCTGAGGGTTGACCTAACCATGGGTCCTGAAACCAGTCTCCAGTGATACCAGGAAACTGTAGAGGCATACAGGCACCAGTTGTACTTTACATCTTTTTCTTTCCGATTTGAAACAAATGTGACATTTTCCTTCCGACTAGTGAATTTTCAATCTTGGGTTTGAATGCTGAACAACAATTCAGACCAATTAAGTCAGCATTTAGAAATGAAGAACCACTGCCTCTATAACAGCAAATAATTAAAAACTCGCAGCCATAAATAAATGCTCACGGTTAAACAGGAGCTTCCCAAGCCCAGGACATTTATTAAAATAAAAAGAGCAAACTGTTGTCTCTCAATTAAAATTTTGGCAAAAGCTAAGATGACTCCATGAAGACCAAGAATTATACTTCACGCTGTGATCTCTCAGAAAACATTAACATCGATATCTATCTATCTATCTATCTATGTGTATTTTTTTTAAAACTTACTGTTTTTTCAAGAAACATTAAGAGTTCTAGCAATAAATCAGAGATTAAATGAAGAGCTTCACTTTTCAAAGGTGGTTAAGGCTTTGTGTAAAACATCAATAAAAGATGTCTATCTCATCACTGGTCCAGATTGTCAATCTGGAGAGCACTTAGTACAAAACGGCACTAACAGAGAAAATTATTCTCAATCCCAACATCAAGAATTTAAAATACCTGAGAAGCAGGATAAGAAGAAAAGTTGAATCACACACTGCAGAAAGCTTTTAAAGCAGTGATTATAAAACTTTTAGAAAGAGGGAAAAAACTAAAGAGGAATTTGAAACATACAATTTCAGCTGTCTGCATACAGTCCTCTTTCCTGGTAGGCAAGTCCCTAACAGGGACAGGATGTGAATAAACAGTGACATCAGGGAGAAGGGGGAGGCACTCTGGGCAGAGGCCCTCTCCCCCAATGTATTCAACCTGGCAACCCTTTGCAGGCTAACCTTGGGAGGCCCATTCTCCCATTTCCTCAAGGAAAGGAGAAACAAAACAATCATTTATGTAAATTACAATGATTAAAAGGGATAAGGTATTTTAAAATAATAGTGTCACACAAATGTATTACATCACAATCATTATGTCCCAGCAGAAAGGAGAAGTAGGATAGGAGGTAGAGAGATGATCCTTACAGAAAAACATCAGCACAAGATCTGGAAGTGACATGGCAAGAAATGGATGTAGAGAGAAGTATTTAAATCTGAAGGTTATGAAGCTAGCTCTGTGGCTCTGAGGCAGAGCGCTTGCCTAGCATGTTTGAGGCACTGGGTTCCATGCTTAGCATCCTGTAAAAATAAATAAAATAAAGGAATTCTTTACATCTACATCTACAAAAAAAAAATTAAAAAAAAAAAACGTGAAAGTTCATCTTAGTAGCCAACTCAAAATTTAAATAAAAATAAATAAATGGATTGGAGGTGTGGCTCAGTGTAAGGGACTGTGCTGACCATGAACAAGGCTCCAGCACCATGAAAACAGACAAATAAAAGTAAAAGTCCCACAAAAAACAAACCAAGGAAAGAAAAGGGGGGGAGGGGTTCAGTCAAGATGAGAAATGAGCACACCACAGATTAATGCTTAAAAGGGAAAAACAAATTTTTAAAAAACATGTAATTGGAAGGCACTGGGTAGAGGAAACCCCTCATAAAACCTAGAACTTAAGAAGGGGGTAACATTCTGATAGAAGGGAACCAGTCATTTTAATCTATTCATTCTGCCAGAATTCCTAAGACCTGGCATAGACACGTAAAAACTACTTGCAAGGCAAAATATGAGAGATGGAACTTGAGAAATTGTAAACAAAGTCACACAAATTATGTTAATATATATGTGTGTGTTTGTGTGTGTGCATATACACATACACACATATAAGTTATATGTATTTTACATGTTTGAAAGCAAAATATATGTCATTAATTTCTATGTTTGGGGAAATTGCTAGAAAATTAAAATTACAAAAGCCTAAAAACTCTTTTTGTATGCACGTGCTTGTGAGTATGGGTGCTGGTGTACGCACATGCTTGTGTATAAGTTTGTGTAAGATTCTCTAGATTTTACTCAGGAGGATGAATCAGAGAAAGTGCTGTATTTTGAACATCTTCACAGTGTTCTGAAACAATTTGACAATATGATCTTCCAAATGAGACAACTAAGCAAAAGCAAAGGGGGAAAACAGAAATTCATAAAGGATGTGTGAAAAGAAAAAATACCTAGTTTATGCAGAACACCTAAAAACCTGGCCACTTATTGACAAAGACGAAAGTCCTGAAACAAGTGTCCAGACACAGGCTTCTTCACTGATTCCTCCCTCCAGGGCAGGAAAAATTGTGGTTACTATACCTGCAACCAGAGCTTGTCACCAGCCACGGTCCTGCCAATGGCACTGCACTGGAAGGTGGCAAACTGGCCAGCATTCACTTCTACATTCTGAATCCGCAGAAAATGGGGAGTTCTGGCTACATGAAAAGAAAGAAATAGATATATTAAAAGTGGAGTTCTGCAACTACTATGATCTTTTTCAATCTATCTGTAATTTGGGGCCTTTCCATTTTCTTCACCTTGGGAGAAAATAATGCTTTTGCTTACAAGAGCTTTAAAGATTTCACTGTAATTGTGCAAGATAACATGGAACCTTCTGGGTGTATGCTTTGTAAAAGACTAAAAAAGCCAAGCAATCTGGGATAGAACCAAAAAAAGAAGATATTTTATTGTTCCTGCTGTGCAAATTATCATAGCTCAGTAGTCATCTTGTAATAACAGATCTGTATTAATAAAGATTATGCTGAAGCCTAATTGATGTTTTGAACAAAAACATATTAGATATTTATACTAGCAACATGAAAAGAACAGTAAGAAGTTAAATGATGTTGTCAAGGAAACTTTTAAACCCAAATACAGAGCTGTGCATAATATATATTTTAATACAACTAATTGGAATGCAACATTACTCATGTAATATTTTCCAGCTATCACAAATAATATCCCTATAGACACACTTTGTGAATGATTCTGTGACTGCCATAGTGTAGCAATTTCTGCTGATTCTTATTTCTAATTCAAGAAGTAACAATGATTTCAAATGCTAAACAACATTGTTTCATGATGTACATTGTGCCTATGGAACAGCTGTTTAAATACAGGGCAATTTTATTTGACCTGGGAAGCACAGGCCAATTTCTGCATCACACTGAAAATAAGTGTCCGGGAGCTAGAATGATAGATGTTGTGCAACTCCTTTCAGGAAAACATTCTCTTATCACAACAATTAGTAGAGTAAAAGAGTAGCAAGTCAGGTAGAGAGAAAGAAAAGGAGTACAACAAGACGTCATGATTTTCTGGAGGAAGTAGGGATACAACTCAATAAAAACTAGTATAAAGGCAACCCTTGTTGGGTTCCCTTTCACCTTGAAGAAGCTCTGTATCTTTTCTTCTCACTTGAATAAATCCTACTCTTTTATGCTCAAAAGCAAAACAACAACAACAACAAAACACACACACACACAAAAAAAAAAAACTAGTATAAATACCTTAGTCTTCATTGCTAATGGTCTTCAGGCCATATCCTAATACTTTCAAGGAATACCTATTATTGGTATCCAATGATTATAAACTCACACTTAGGTGAGCCTGAGAAGAACATAATTAGGAATGGAAGTGGGTTGCAACCAAAGAACAAGTAAAAAAAATTCATTTTAATGTCAATGACGTACAGTAAAATCCCATTACTAATTTGGAGGCCACTAATAATTTAATGTATTCCTGATATTTAGCATTCAAAATGTTCTGCATAGCTTCTGACAAAACTATGGTCTCTATCTTTTTTTTTTTTCCAGAGAGAGAAGAGAGAGAGAGAATTTTTTAATATTTATTTTTCAGTTTTCGGCAGACACAACATTTTTATTTTATTTTATATGGTGCTTAGTATCGAACCCAGCACCCCCCGCATGCCAGGTGTTACCACTTGAGCCACATCCCTAGCCAGGGTCTCTTTTTTTCTTAATGTTAATATATAATGCTAAACTCTATAAACTATTTCACTGATTCAATTCTCATCATTTCTAAGAAACTAGAAAACACATTGATTTTAGAAAATGTGGGAAAATAACATTTGTTGAATACATACATGCCACATATCTTTCCACTAAATACTTACAAATGTTCTGGGGGTGGGAGGTGTTTTCTCCATTTCATGGGTGAGAGGACTGGTGGGAATGTGGATAAAGAGTGTTAGAAGGAGAATGCAAAAGGTTGGCCAGTTCAAAGCCCACGTATAGGCCACTAAGCCAGGCCTCTCTAGGTCTTCTTATCACCTCTGCCTTCCCTATTGATCTTCTGCTCACTGGGGGTACCTCCTCTGTTGTAATTTTAACTTCTTCCAAGATGACTCCTCAGTGCTATTTCTTCATTGAGGCTTCTATGAATTCTCTCATTTTGATGTTCATCATTCTCCTATCACAATAGCAAGGGCACTCCTTGTAACAGCACCTGATATTAATGCCTCACATAGAACTGATACTACTTGGCATCATTAAATTTAATCTATTTTAAAGTTATTAACTTAAAATTAATAAAAATGTGAACACATAACCTTAAGGACTATTCAGTTGAGATTTTAACTTCTGCAGCAGAATCACACTACTCTACCTTCCTACCCCACCTCTGACACAAACTTTTACTCTATAAAAAACTTTACTGGACAAAGACCCACAATCATTTTAGACATCCCTGAAGCTCATAAAGATCTGGAAAAAATTCTGCAATTTGACTAAACTAAAAGGACTGCATTGGAAGTCAAAAGGCTGTTTTCTTATCAAGAAAATCTAAGCAAAAGTGAATACTGCTCCTCTTCTAATTAAACATAAATATATACAGGTTGAATACCCTGATTTGAAAATCTGAATATTTCTGACAGCAGACATGACACCACAGGTAAAGAATTGTACACCTCATGTGATCATATTTCACAACATATGCATGCTAAAAAATTTATTGTACAAAAATTACTTTCAGACTATATGTATAAGATTTATTATAAGACATAAATGAATCCCATGTTCAGGCTTGCATCTGATTCCCAAGAGATCTCATTATAAATATGAAAATATTCCAAAATCTAAAAAAATCCATAAGTCCAAGTATTTTGGATAAGGGATACTCAACAAATTCAACTATTTCAGTACATGGGTCATTAATATGAAATTTGCTCAAATTTTCATAAAATTAATCTAAGCATACCATCCTAGCCATGTGGACATCAACCTACATGATGATCCTTAGAAAAAAAGAAAAATGATGGCAGTGAAACTCCTCTATTTGTCAGTGTATTTGTACACCAACAGATTTTTAACACTTTTATGTAAATTGTGCATGTCTGGTCCCAGCAGATAAGGTACCCTGCAATCACACAAAGAGTAGTACATACTCCTGAGGGACTGCTAGATCCACTTCCTGTCAAGTAGGGGACTGACAGATCTACTTCCTGAGGAACTGTCAGGTGCACTTCCTGTGAGCTGAGAGACTGCTAGATCCACTTCCTGAGAAACTGTCGAATGCCCTTCTTGTAGGATGAGGGACTGCTAGGTCTACTTTCTGTTGACTGAAGGATTGCTAGAACACTTCCTGAGGAATTGTTAGATGCACTTTCTGTAGGTCGATGGATTGCTAGGTCCACTTCCTGTTGATTGAGGAACTTCCAGATCCACTTCCTAAGGAACTATCAGATGTACTTCCTGTAGGCTGAGGACCTGCTAGGTCCACTTCCTGTTGATTGAGGGACTGCTAGATCCACTTCCTAAGGAACTGTCAGATGCACTTCCTGTCAACTGAGGGACTATTAGATCTACTTTCTGTCTACAATTCCAGGAATCAGAAGTCCCCATAACAAGTCCCCCAAATCACTCATCTTCTCAGGCAGAAGGCTTCTGCCCCCAACGGGCTAAGAAAACAGCTGTCCTCAGATCACCAAAAACTGAAAACTGGCCTCATATGCCTTCTATCCTTCCTCTTCCAAATTCACCTCCCAATAAGAATAGATGCTTCTAGCCATACAGATCCTTTAAAAAAAAACTTCCAAAAATACTTTGAACATTTTCCTTTCAAGGTCAATTTTCTGTGGCCTTTTCCCTTTTCATCCTTCTTACTAAGTCTCCCCTAATGTTGAAGACCTTAGATTAGGACTTGGCCGTTTCACTTTTCAGAGAACAAAACCTCCTAGTAGCTGTCTTATGCCACCATAAAGTCAACAACCCACAACTTTCTTCCTAAAATCAAAACAAACAACAAAAACAAAAATCTTATTTCTGAGGTGCTTAGACATAGAGAATCTATAAAAGCCTACACTGGACTATCCTCCAGCCAGCCATGAGGTGGGTAATTGACCCTAAGGAAGGAGATGCTTCCATCAACAATCTACCTCCAGATAGGGTCCTGCAGCCCCTTCAAAGTCAACCTTGACATCCTGCTACATTACTGGAAGGGAAGCATGCACATCAAGGGAAGCAGGAGAAAGCTGACAAGCTCAGTGTGACAGAGGATGATAAATACAATGGGGAATAGTTGTCACATGAAAAACTGGGTGTTCTTGTTTGGGTTTTTGTTTGTTTTTTAAATAAGATATTTCAGTGTCATGAAGGGTAAACAGGCACATGGGAAGAATACAAGCAGTGGAGAATGATAACTGGCTTTAAGTTTGTGAGAAAGACCAACATGAAATAACATGCAGGTGTGTATTTCTAAAGGTGAACACAGTTTTAAACACTTAGAGACTATTGTATGAGCTGGCCAGTGAGATAGCCATTGACTAGAGAAAGAAGTCATAGTTGCAGGGCAGAAATGTGGATGGCCTGAACACCCCATTTTTAGCTGGCATCCTACTAAACATGGCCACTGTCACAGGGTTCATCCAAGTAAAGATAAAGAATCTCAACTTAGAAAGTCCCACATTGTCTTTTTCCCAATTGCCTTTGTGTATTCTGCCTCTGGCAATAGGAGTGCCTGCTGTCTTCCCTCTGGGCTATCTACAGATATGGGGTTGTATCTTGAGCACCTCTGGGGTCACCTCTTGCAGGGATGGGTAAGCCACAGAAAGACCTATGGTTTAAGACCTTTGAACGGGTACACTCTGTGTAGCTGGGTTAGAATCCCGGGCTTCTTAATGTGTCAAGGATTTCTTGGACTGGGAGTTCCTAGTCTAGGCTTTGATTTCCAGGACTCTATACTCTGCTTGCTTGATCATGTTATTCTCAGGGGAACACTCAGTTGACTAAGCAACCCCCCTTCCTTTAAATACCTGCTTACTGTATGCCCCTTCCTTATACACCAGCTCCAGCATACTTAGAACTTTAGAAATTTAGAACTTTGGTACTTAGATAAGATAACTAAAACCTTCCAAGCTGTATCCCCTAGTCTTCTCTCTCCTCATCCAGCCCTTCAACACTCTACTGGTCATCACAGTCTC